GAAGTACTGTTAGTTTGTTATTTCAGAAACCTCTATAAATAGGTTTCTGCTCCTCATTAATAAGATCAGATTACATTCATCTTAAAACCTTGTGCTAGATTGCATTATAAAGTATTTTAGGATTTTCTAGATACTTTTGATTAACTAACTAAATACTAAGGTTATCGAAAGCAGTACTTCCCAACCTTCCAAAGGTCATCCCAAACCCACCCTCTGACTTGTATTCATTGGATTAGCATGATACAAAATACATCTCATTTTTAAATTGCAAAGTTCCAGAATATATTGATGCTTGGCAGCATTGCTAAAATTGCCAAGTAACAGAATATATTAATGAGCGATTCCTGATAACTATTTCTATTTTGTGAGTCTTTACTACTCACAAGAAATTTCATGCGATTGCTTGGGAATATAGTGGGAAAACACCTATATTTATACCTTATAATTCTTTATGATTGGAAAAACTGTTTGCTCAAAAGTTTCTGTGGTGCGTATTTCTTGGCTTGGAATTGTGGTTTCGAACTCAAAGGATGACTTAGAGAAGTAGAAATTAACATTAAATATATGCATACTGGTGTCCTTTCTAGACAGGGTTTCTCCCTTCTCCCCTCTAATTCTTCATCAAAATTTATTTTTTTGTTGCAGTCACTTTTAGTCGGATAGATCCTGGAGGTCAATTAGTCATGGGATTTCGGAAAGCGACAAATTCCACTGATATGCAGGTTAAGTTTTTCACTCATTATCGTTAATCTTTGCATCTTCTTATCATCATGTTTTTTTGTTTTAGTGGATTGACGAAAAGGTGAAGTAAACAGGATGCCAAGATCTCTACAGTTCCTAATGGCTCTCACTCGGGCGATGCCTCATATTCTGGGGTCTTTCAGAATTTGCCTTTAAGAGGTTATTCATGGCCTTATAATTTTGTTCCAGGAAAAAACTCATTTTTAATCTCTGTACTTAGTTGAGTGCGTCCATTCTCTAAAGCCACCAATAAACTATCTGACATTCAGCCAACAAAACACCTAAAA